AAGTAGTGGCGAGTCTAATGTTTTGTACTCTTTTGAGCTTTGAATGCGGGTATCGTGTCTTGGACCGTGATTGTCAACCTTTAGATCGAGATAACCGATTTTGATTACTATTCGATTAGTTTAGTGGAGTTGTGAATGATGAACCACTTTTATGCGAATTTGGATCAAAATACGAGAAGAACATGGATTATACAACTTTGAAATAACCCACTTGAATTCATAAACATGTGAAGTGAAAACACGCATGCACACACCGATGATTCTACAAGTGGGAAACTATTTTGATAATTTCTAATGTTGTTTAGAAAAACCATGATTTATTTTTTTGTGTACAAGAATTTCTATTGAATATATAACTATGCAAAATTCTAAAAGTTTTGAAACTAATGTACCAACTATATATCGATGTGTAGTAACACTCCAGATCTTTGCAAAGATACTATCTCGGTACTAATATTTAAATTGTATGAATCCCGTCTCTTTGTGGTTTCGTCAAAAAGGGTTAAAATATGTAAATGAAAAACTACACTAAATTGTGTAACTCGAATTTATTATACAAGTAGTAATTACGCGGAGACATTAAGTTACTTCACCAAAAATCATTATACATTTGAAGAATTAAAAATATTGTGAAAGTGAGGCGCACTGCTTCCTGAGGATGACGGCACCGAGAGCCTGTCAGGAGCGACATCATACATCCATCCGACAATGATTATTCATCCATCCGTTTGCAGGGAACGGGTGATCACTATGAAACAGGTGCCACGTGTGCATATGCTTGCATGCCCAAATGCTTTTAAAAATATCGTCATGATGTTTCCATATTTTCACTGACTATTTTTAAAAGTGCAAACCAAAGCAATTTGATCATAACTACGACTCGGCACATTAGTTGTTGTTTATATTTTTTTATTTTTATTATAAAAAGTAATATGTATCCTTTGCAATTCTTAACAAGGATTTCATGTTATACCCATGTATGGGACACACTAATGCATTGTGAGCTTCCATATTGCACACAAAGTGTGGAATAATTCCACAATTTTTTTTATTTTGTCTATTGCTGGTTTGTTTTGTTTTGTTTGTTTGTTTGTTTTTTCAACATTGAACTATGTTTCATTTCTAATAAGATGATTTAGGTTTAAAGGAGAACAAAGATGAAAAGTAATCATATATTGTTTCATACTTGTAAGGGGAAACAAGCAAACAATGATCATGGCATGAAACATGGCTAGCTGTTTCAAATATTTGTATGAATCTTATCAAAAAATTTATATATACTGTTTAATCACCGTTATTGAACAATAAAACCTGAGTCCTGTGTGCTTGTTTTATAGTCCTTTTTCGGATGATAAACTGCAGGAGTAGTGGAAGCCATGAATTATAATCAATCCCACTACCAAAACACATGCAAAAAATTTATGTTTGAATAAAATCAACTTGGTGTTACGGCTTACAAAAGTTTTGGACAAAGTTTATAGTCTCTTACACAAGAACTTAAGTCTTACCCCGTTCGCAGGGGAAAGAAAAATTATACATTCTCAGGAATCTCATCCCTTCACAAATTTTTGCAAAATTTCAACTACCAACAACTACCGACACCCCTCATCCAAACGTCAGTTATTCTAATTAGATGTTGATTGACAACATTTTATTATTATTGTTAATGTTATTGAGCACATAGTTATTGTCATTCATGTTTTTAATTACCAGCAAAAGTGACTCGGAAAACTGTTCTACACATGCAACCTGATGTTTATGAAGATGCATGAATGTACACTGATGTCTACCATTTAATGCCATGCTTTGAGATTGCAATTCAAGCAAATGGTTGTGTCATTGTTGTTGGATCAATCAATGAGTAATTCAAAACAATTGGTTGTTGACATTGTGGTATGCACACTTTCATATCATTCTTTTAACTTTATATAGTATGATTGTGATATTTTCATCCTCTTTTCTCTACAACATGCTCCAAGAAAATAAAACTGCAACCACTTCTGTATACAACACTCCATATTGGTTCCAACATAGCATGCAAGCATCATCTTACCAATATTGACTTTTAACTTGTTTTTAGCTTCAATTATTTTAATGTTTTAGGGACATCATAGCAAGAAAAAAGAAGAATTGAAGAAGAGTCGTTAACATGAAAAATACACTGAAACATATTAATGAAAGAAAGAAAAAGAGAGTACATGAAGGACGTAGGTTTTGGCCGAAACCCAAATTCTGAAACCCAAACAGGCTATAAACAAGAGAGGACGTTGTAGAGAGCGCCGCAGTTCGCAGACCTCAACACGAAATTTGCAAAAACTAAAGAGAAGTCGCATTGAAACGATCATGATCGAGGCACCGAAAACAACACCGACCATGCAACGGGCAGCGGCTTCGGAACGTCATAGCATGCTTGACGAGAAGCGGTTGTCTGCGGAAGCAGCGTCCAGAAACGCATCGCGGAGATGGAATGGTCAAACCATGGGCAGGGGCACGAGACGCGAGGTGGGGAAAGGCAGGGATGAGGTTGGGTTGAATCCTAATGACGGAGCGACACATGCCTTCCGGACAAAGCCTGAATGGAAGATGCGTCGATGGCACACAGCTGAAAGCTAAGGGAAAAAAAAACAGAAAAAAAAAAAAGAAAAAAAGAAAAAAGAAAAAAAAAAAAAAGGAAGGATGTGGATGTTGTTGTTGTGGTTGGTGTCGTTGATGTTGTTGTTTCCTTGCTTTACCTTGTGGAAAACTTCCGGCAAATGGTTAGTAGGAGCGGGACAGTGCAAACTAGAGATGGGCGACCAGGCTGAGGCGAGAAGTTTCTCGATGACTTAAAAAAGGATAGTGAGCTCGCAAAAATCACGTCAGGCCAGAAAACGACAATAGAAATGGAGACTTTTTCCTGGGTGGAACGACCCTCACTTGAGGCCCATGTTTCCCTCACGCGCCTCCACCAATGCCATGGCTGCTGCCACGGATGTTTCTCCGCTTGGTCACATAACGCACAGCAGATGATGGACAGGATTCTCGTGCTTTTCTTCTTGTAGGAATCTCGCGCACTGGAACAACCCTAAACTTGGTCCACTTGCACCAAGTTTTTTTTTTTTCCCCCTTGGTTACACAGCACAGTTGACTGGATCTGATTTTGCTCACTGGTGCTCAGTTTTGAAAGTCGTCGATTTCTTCGGGGCACCCACGTGTCCATATGGATGTCATGCCCCGTTCGCTGTATCAATCCTGGATCCCACAATTCCCTGCCATAGAACAATCTTCGGAGCGCATGAAGCGATTATTATTCATCCATCTCGGCAACCGCACGATACAGAAATAATAGTCTAATCGAGGCACGGCTCGCAGGCTGTGGACGGACAAGTCCACTGGTTTCCGGGTTGGTAATTTGGATGGGCGTGGCGTGTGAAGTCATTTAAATTGCACTCGCCTGCTGACAAGACAATCGACATCGTTAATGAGCTGACTCGCACTGTGCAAGATCTTATCGGCAGAGACTGGAGCAGCTGATGTATCAAGTTTTGTACAAGGTGTACATGCATGGCACATGCAGGCAATTGAATTTTGGGGTAGTACTAGTGTCCGGGGAGAACCGGCCTCTCAACTTACAGGCCAGCCGATCGGAATGCCCAAGCGCTGTATTTAAAATCAAATCTCTTGTAGGAAAGGAAAAAAGAAGCAAGAAATAGAAATAGAAATAATAAAGTAGAAGAAGATGAAGAAAAGTATAATCGACGTCGGGGAAGAGAAGCCAGAGACAACATTCAGGATAGAACAGCAAGCTACTAGTTGAATATGAAAGCTTGGGGATCTCAGCCGGTGCTTCTCGAAATGCTCCCAGGAAGCAGTGTGCAGAGCAAGGACCTGCTTCTGGTGAGTCTGCAAATTGAAGTTTGAAAAAATCGACAGCAATGGAGGACTGGATTCGCCAGGGTTAGCCAGCGATAAATGGTGTCTAAGTGGAAAGGAGGATAGGAAGCGTGGCTTTTGGGTGTCCTGCGTGACCTTTCCTTATTATTTCCACACATGTCGAGGTTGTGAGGCTAATATAATGCTTGCCAAGTCACAGCGGTCCAAACAGGATAACTGATCGCCCGCACAGTGCGCAGCCTCATGGTCTTGCCCCTTCCACAGGACCACCACCACCGATGAAAATCATTATGTCCTCCGATTATGCAGTGGGTGTGGACTTGTGGTTTCTGCATCGACCGCGACTGGCGTTGCCTCCCTGAATTCCTGCGAGGCGACTGTCATGTCATGTCCCCGAAAAGATGGTCCGAATCCTGCACTTATCGCTGTCTTGCACAATATGGATATGCCACACTCATCTCTACCAATTCCGAAATGAAGTCCTAGATCCTTGAATCTGCAAAATTCAGGCAGCACACGCCCAGAGGGCCAGGGCATCGCTCGCTAGGATCTACAGATGGAGAGATGTAAGAGAGGCTTTGAGGATACGTGAGAGAGCTCAACGTGGCAGGAGTTGAGGGCCAGGCGGGCAAGTGGTCGGAGGTGGGGACCAGGCCGGCGTGAAAAGCGACGACGAGAGAGGAAGGGCGATGGACTTGGAGGTGGTCAAGGCTGAGGGCGGGGTGTTGTGGGGGCGATGGCGAGGGCGAAGATGGCGGGCTGTGTGTGAAAGTTCCTATTTCCTGCACACTCGTGACACTGTTGCTCCTGCCCTGGCCTGGCATCGCTTGCCTTGAGATTGATTCCTGTTATTTTAATGGGGTAGGGAGGAAGGGGCGGTCCTGTCTGTCTGTGTCGGAACCTGTGTGAGGAAGGTGAAGAGAGAAAGAGAGAGTGGCCGTGTTTTTAAGAAGGTAAAGATACACACACCTACTTTAGTAATGACGATGACGATAGTGGCGATAATGATGATCATGCAGGTGTTTCCGCTCTCTTCTTCCTCCTCGCTATGTGTAAATTTTTCCACATGCTGGGAGTGACTGCTATGGGTCAGCTTCCTCTGCCTGCTTTTTTCATGGCGATGATGACGACGACGATGCCTGTCCGAATGAAATTTCATTAGGGCTCGCGTCTCCTCTCTCCTGCGTTGTCTTGGCCCCTCACAGCTTGCTTGCTCAGCGGGAAGAGACGGGATGGGAAGGGGAAGGGAAGGGAAGTTATAGATAGGTACGTCGTCAGTCTGGGTATCCCCGTCATCGGACTGTCCGGCAGTGCTCAGGCATGTCAGAGTGCAGACTTCAGTTCTTGCTGCGTCGTTGTGGTAATTGTTGCTGCTCCTCGGTGAAGTACAAATGCATGATGGAGGGCGGCTTATCCCACACCTGTTCTCCCCTAGACTTCCCTGGGGAATAGGGAGTCCGTTTGTTTTGCGCAAACAGAGAGGAAGACGAGAAGATGATGAGCTGATGCGATCGGTCGTTTTCTAAGTAATCGATCAAGCGCTTCCCGTAGTGTGATATACAGGACAATTTCTCTGTGTGCTGTGGTTGTGAGAGTTGAAGTTATTAGGGTTTTATCGCAGTCTTACAGGGGATCGATCTCCCAGTGTTGGATTTTCCCGTTCGCCATTTCCCGCTTTATCGCCATTCCCGCTTCATCGCGAATTTGTTGAATTGGTGATTACTTGCTTGCGACGAGCTTGAAGCCGAGCTTCGACTTATGAGCTCAAACGCTGCGATAATGGCGGAAATTTGACATTGATATCCTCTTTGGAATTTTTTATTACAAATGCATCCTTAGAGTATCTGATCGTTTCTTATTCTCTTAATTCCTGACTCTTTATCTCTAAAAAGGGTCGTGGTCTGCCATTTGCCCTCTTCGTTCAGGACAAAAGGCTTGTTTCATAGTTTGGATCGTCCGAAGACCTGTCTGCAGCAATTTTGGCTCTGGTTTCTGTCCTTAAATTTTCCAAGTAGTATCTGTTACGCCACGTGGTTATGTTCGTTCTAGAATTAAATTCTTACCCAAACTGTAGATCCTGGTGGTAGGAAGCTGAAGTTGTATTTGGTTGTGTTCTCGCAACTCGTCTTCTTTTTTGTTTTGGTTGTAGAATTACCATGTAGAGAATATTAGGAGCAATAACTAGTTTGCGTTTAATCCACAAGTTCTATTGATTTGGGAAAGAAAGAAACCTCCTAATCTCTGAAAGGGACGCATCATTTTCAACTCGTTAGTAGGCATCATGACTTGTCTAATTGTTCTTGCAGTCTGCTTTCTGAGAAGCAAGTTGCCGTAGATAGGAACCTTGCAGATGTGACTTAGAAAACGGCTGGTAACTAAGTGCTGCTAGTTTTACCATTATCTTCTCTAAAGAGCAGCTAATCCAAGGCCCGAAGCTTCTATTAGTTGTGATGTTTTGATGGCACGAAGATTCCTCACTTAAATTCTGTTTTGCATGAATTTGCAGGTTGTCAGGACTGAGTATGCCGTTCGTGAAGAGGTTATTATCCGTGCCTTAGTGTACTTTGCGTTGCACTGTGTTCATTCATGAAGTTTCTGCCACGTGAACTTGAACGTATCGCAAGAGTGTTATTCTTGAATGTTTTCTGCTAAGATTTGTGTTCATCAATTACGGCTTGTGTATGCAGAATCGCCAAGCAGGAGTTCATCAGTGTCAGGATCCCTTCTGTATGAGGAGGTACTTTGCATGCGATCATTGTGCATTAGATTGTCTACATTGATTGACCATTACATGTGTCTTACCATCGAATGACTTATGGCCTGATGCTGTGATGATAAGGTTTGGTGTTTTGACGCGCATTAATTGGGTGAATTGGTACGTGTTTGTAGTTTTGTATGCTCGATTCAGAAGTTGTCACCATTTCGCGCATTTTGATGTGAGAATCCTACTTGTAAACTGCTCGGGTTTTCGCTCTCATGCCAGACATTGAGAGACAGGAGTGGTTTGTGATGCGAAGCTGGGAGGGTGACAGAAAGGACATCAGTGGATCTATGCTCTTATTAGTCCTAGTATGGATTAGTATTCATTGATTATAGAGGCTGCGCGGGAGAAAATGGAGAGACTAAGAAGATGAATTCTTCGTAGTTGTGACGAGATGGAAGGTTATTCAATTTATATTAGGGTACAATGGAAGGAATGCACTTAATTTTTGAAAGTTTTTCGCACGCCAGGATGGAACTCTTGATAATTGCGTATTATCTACGTATTGTTGAGTTTTCAATTTTCCCATACTGTCTGTCTGGATTTGCTTCTCATGATACAGGAGTTGTCTGTGAATCTCATTGGATATTTCCGGATGGTTATTAACCGGGTCCAGTTGATCGTCCAAGCTCCCTTGGCATTTGTGAGGGGTTCTACTAGTTGTGTGAACTCAGCACACGTAAATTTATAGATTTCCTCTCAAGGCTCAAAGTACCAGACTTTTTATGCTAGGACAATCTTTGGATATGTGCCAGCGTATCTTGTGATCGTGGTTCTTAAGGGTCGAGTGCTTAGCTCCTCATCCTCATGCTTAGGTCTGGAAATATGTAAAAGGGGACGTAATGACAACACGAAGCTTATAAAAACTCAAAGCTATATGATCATAGGGCTTTCACGATGAGCGAGATATTTTCTCTCAAGCCTGTGAAGCATTTTGAACGTCTTTATTCTAGGAAGACGAGTTTGATGTTTATTGGTATTGAGTTTCGCTCTTTCAGAAGTATTTTCAGAAGTTAGCAACGATTTCCTATGTTAGGTTCTGTTATTGGTTTTTTGCGTATGATTCGTGTCCTTCTGGTTGTAACCAAGCTGTACAAAAAAACGTGCAATTGATATCATTTGGTGGCGATTAGACATTTTGGTGTCATTGACAAGTTCCAATGTACACTTCTCTTTAAGGTTTTTATTTAATTCCTAAGTATTGATATTTTATTTATTTATTTGTTGTGGTCAGGTATCGATCTGGAGCCCGTTGCAAACTCAATGGTGTATTTTATAGGGCAAAAGTCTGATCTATATGGAATGCATCCTCTCAGAGTTGCAAATCATGGACTGCATGTCACTCTGGGCTATTCTCGATCACCTAGCTTTGCTGGAGTTCAAATTGGTGAATACGAGTATTATGAGTGATCTCGAGTTTATGGTCCCCTTCTTTCATGATCAAGGGTAATTTATATCAAGGGTGTATATGAGAGATACGCACTTATTGAGTGGACCTTTTCTCATACTGCATTTACACCCCTGTCAGTTGCAGCATCCTGGTTTGGAATGCCGGGTCCAGTCCCTCTATTATCCATGAGTGTAAAATCGGAGAGTCTCGATGACATTGGAGGTCACGAGAAAAAATCTGTAACTGGGTCGGAAGTGGGTGGCCTCGATGCTCAGCTGTGGCATGCCTGTGCTGGGGGTATGGTTCAACTGCCTCATGTGGGTGCTAAGGTTGTCTATTTTCCCCAAGGCCATGGCGAACAAGCTGCTTCAACTCCCGAGTTCCCCCGCACTTTGGTTCCAAATGGAAGTGTTCCCTGCCGAGTTGTGTCAGTTAACTTTCTGGCTGATACAGAAACAGACGAGGTATTTGCTCGTATTTGCCTGCAGCCTGAGATTGGCTCCTCCGCTCAGGATTTAACAGATGATTCTCTTGCGTCTCCGCCTCTAGAGAAACCAGCTTCATTTGCCAAAACGCTCACTCAAAGTGATGCAAACAACGGTGGAGGCTTTTCAATACCTCGTTATTGTGCTGAAACTATTTTCCCACCTCTCGATTACTGTATCGATCCTCCTGTTCAAACTGTTCTTGCAAAAGATGTCCATGGAGAGGTGTGGAAATTTCGTCACATTTACAGGTATGGAATTCTAAGCTTTTGGTAGTGTGTGTCTGGTCTATTCTGATGGATTTTTATAGCATTCTGTCATGGTGAATATCATATTTTCGCTGCTCCAAAGTGGCAAATCCTAATCTTGTAAGATGGAGTATTAGCTAGCATTTGTTGTTGAAATTAGAAGATAAGCATACGATCTCTTGAACTTATGTCAGCGCATACAATACAATTTTGCAGGGGGACTCCACGTCGACATTTGTTAACCACAGGATGGAGCACATTTGTCAATCAAAAGAAGTTAGTTGCGGGTGATGCTATTGTATTTCTTCGCATCGCATCTGGCGAACTTTGTGTCGGCGTGCGCCGTTCAATGAGGGGTGTCAGCAACGGAGAATCCTCATCTTGGCACTCCTCAATCAGTAATGCTTCAACGATTCGGCCATCTCGATGGGAGGTGAAGGGCACAGAAAGTTTCTCGGACTTTTTAGGTGGCGTTGGTGATAATGGGTACGCACTGAATAGCTCAATTCGGTCTGAAAACCAGGGCTCTCCAACAACGAGTAGCTTTGCACGGGACCGTGCTCGTGTTACTGCGAAGTCCGTTCTAGAAGCTGCTGCACTCGCCGTCTCCGGTGAACGTTTTGAGGTTGTGTATTATCCTCGTGCTAGCACAGCTGAGTTCTGTGTCAAAGCTGGGCTTGTTAAACGTGCGCTAGAGCAATCGTGGTACGCTGGAATGCGCTTCAAAATGGCATTTGAAACTGAAGACTCCTCGAGGATAAGCTGGTTTATGGGAACTATTGCTGCTGTTCAAGCAGCAGATCCAGTACTTTGGCCTAGTTCTCCATGGCGGGTTCTGCAGGTTAGCTTTTTGTTTGTCTAATCAAAGCAATCAATGTGCTAATGAACGTGCTGCCTGCATTGTCTGCAATGACTATGTACTGCGTAGTCAGTGGAAATAGGTGGTTGATTATGAGATTTTGGTTGTGCAGGTCACTTGGGATGAGCCGGACCTATTGCAGGGAGTGAATCGTGTAAGCCCATGGCAGTTAGAGCTTGTGGCGACACTTCCTATGCAGCTGCCCCCTGTCTCTCTTCCCAAAAAGAAACTGCGCACTGTCCAGCCTCAAGAGCTTCCACTTCAGCCCCCTGGACTGCTAAGCCTGCCGTTGGCAGGGACTAGCAACTTTGGTGGGCACTTGGCCACCCCCTGGGGCAGCTCTGTTCTTTTGGATGACGCCTCTGTTGGCATGCAGGGGGCCAGGCATGATCAATTCAACGGGCTTCCAACTGTGGATTTCCGAAATAGTAACTACAAACGTCCTCGGGAGTTTTCTAGGGACAATCAGTACCAGATTCAAGATCATCAAGTCTTCCATCCTAGACCTGTATTAAATGAGCCCCCTGCGACAAATACTGGCAACTACTTCTCTCTTTTACCTAGTCTCCAGCGACGGCCAGATATCTCTCCTAGTATTCAGCCCTTAGCCTTCATGTCTGCTTCTGGAAGCTCACAGCTGGAGACTTCTTCAACTAAGACAGCGGCCACCTCTTTTTTCCTATTTGGCCAATTCATTGACCCTTCTTGCACCTCCAAACCTCAGCAGCGTTCCACAGTTATTAATAACGCTTCCGTTGCTGGGGATGGTAAGCATCCTGGCACTAATAACTCATCCTCGGATAACAAATCAGAGGACAAGGACAATTGTAGGGATGTTCAACCCATTCTGAATGGGATTGCTGTAAGATCTGGATTTCGAGCAGATATAGCCGCGAAGAAGTTTCAACAGAGCGACTCTGCACATCCCACGGAAGCATCACGTGGAAGCCAAGTTAGCAGCTTACCGTGGTGGCAAACACAGGACGCTCACAAGGATCAGGTTTGTATCAACAAATCTCTAGTTCGTTTTGGCATGGAGTTCACAATGTGCTCTTCAAGCTTCGTTGTATGCTAAACTCTACTGCAATACTGCTACGGCGTGCCTTTTCTTTTTTCGAAGTATGATATGATGACCTAATGGTCTTTTTGAATACGACAGGAATTCCATGGAGACAGTCAGACGCCTCATACTCCTGCATCTGGTAGCCAATGAGGCTAAAGCTTGATCATAGCTCATAACCCTCTCACAGGACGTAATGGGGGTGACAACATGCTAACAGAATTGCACGGTAAAGGAAAACTGTACTAGGCATGTTATATGGGAATTCGGATCGCTTCTTGCAATTAAACACGCTAGCGCCGTTTGGTGCCAATGTTATTCTGGCATTTGTTTTGTTTCCTTTGGAAACAAATTGCTATATTTCAAAGTCCTTTGGAGGAATTTTACTTGAAAATTTCGGATGTGAGAGAAATTATTGCCACCTTCTCTGAGTATATCCTTTCTTTGCATCCCTTTCACTGCAGTTGTGATCAGATTTCTCTTACTTCAAATATTCTACGTCTCTTTATGCTCTTTATTCTCATTATTACATTTAAATCAACCTATCAAGTAAACACATTAAGTGGTTCAACACTTTTGGACATATGCTTTTATTGCCCAACTGCAGATTTACTCGTACACTCAGTGACACATTCGGTATCATTGATGCCTAATGTGAAATGTGACAAGCTGGATATAATTTATTGAATTTCATCTTGTTTCAATGGTATTAAAAGATTTGTACATCCTCATTTTACGTCATTGATGTTTCGTAAGTTCTGTGGACGTACACAACACTATTTTTTTTAAGATGATTCAATGCAATGTTTATCGGCCATTTCAATTCACAGTACAAATCCAACACTCCATTTCTGCCATTACTTCCAACATCTGAAGTCACGAATGTTTATGAAGAGATTCTACTTCGACTTGAGGTGTTGATCCACTGAACTGTCAATACTTGTTGACGTTATCATGTTTCTGGCGGTTGAAACTTCAACACTAAAGGGGAAATTTCCTTGTAAGTTGACAAGGCGGCTAACACCGGTGCGGCATTGAAATTGCTTATATACACAGTGTTATTTTGAAAAGTGGTGTTTAGATCAGAGGTCTTTCCATCGACATGATGCAACTTCAGGTGTGACTTCAACAGCATCGTTCTCCAGTTGTCCATGTATGCTCTAACCGCAGCTTGTCATGTGGAAAGACTTGCAAAAGGTTCTAACCCCTAAATATTTAGTGACAATTCCCAATTTATTGATATTCTCATGTGCTGTGCCTTTGACGAGAACTGTGTTTTTCAATCCTTTTTCGCGGTGATGTCTCGTTTGTAGTCGAAGGATTTGATAGTTTTACTGTTCCTTCTAGTTGCTTGTCACGATGGTGATGCAAAACTTCGTTTTGTCGATGATGATGGTGGTGGTGGTGGCGGTGATGGTGTTCTTTCTGATGATGGTTTTCTCTGAGGAGATGCTCCAGAGCTCGATTGACAGCACTGGATCCTTCCAGGAAGGGGAGGTTTGCGGCGCTGTGAGTGTGTTTGTAACGATGATGATTCCTTGGAGGGTTCTGACTCGTGCTTAAGCCATGGTCGAGCAAGCGTTTGGACTGCGGCGAGAAGCTATTGGCCTGCGATGTCGCCTCTGTTTTGTCTTTCTGCTGTTGAACGCTGCAAGTGGCCGGGCAACACGCAGTCGGATCCTCCAGCACTGCTTCCATTCTGCTCTGCTTGTTGATCCGCTCCTGGCGAGAAATGATATTTTGTAACTCCTTCATGCGCTTGATGCGTTGCTGAATCTGATCCCTGAGCTTCGTATTGGACAATTGCTCTTGCCCTTCTGCTCGCATTACCTTCAAGACTGTTTCCCTTTCCACCACTTCGTTTGCGAGAACATCTAACCACCTCTTCGCCTTCTGCACCCCTCCTCGCACTTTCTTTCTGATGAGCTGCTCTTCTTCAGTGCCCGCCTCGTCATCCCTTCGTCGATTTGGCTCCGGTGTCCCGACGCCTCGGTTGCTCCACTCCATTATCCTTTGCAACCTGGATTTCTCGCTCTCACCGGCGATGCCCATCGGCAAACTACTCCCAAAAGCCGCAAACTCAACGGCGCGAAGCGATTGGCTCCGCGCCAACAATCACTCCAAGAGATCAATCTTCTCCATGGATCCTTCTACGCTTAACCGTCGACTATTCTTTTTGATAGAGTTTACTTCCAGCGAATATGTTCAGAATCCATGGCAGTGAGAACAGCGTCGTGTTGTGTGGTTCTTCCATGAGGCGGAATGCGACGCAGCGTCGACTCGATTCTGGCGTAGCAGACAACAGTCCCATTCATATCTCGCATCAATTTTACAAACGCTGTAAATTGCAAGAATAGAAGTGAAGTGGGATAAACCATATCATCAGGCTTATGCTAATTATGCCAAAGCATTTAAAAATTAAAATTATAGACATATAACATATACTTTCTATGAACTGCAAGAACCCATAAACAGTAATTTAGAGTTAAAGATGATACCTATCCAAGGCTGCAGAACAGGTGGCGCTCACGGGTTGGAGACGACATACATCCTTTCACACCGGAAATTAGGGTTTGAGATTTTGTTGACTCGCTGTCGCACAGCCTCTATCCGCAAATGATGAGCACCGAACTGCATTCTATCTTGAGACTCGCTGTCAAGGAATTGTTGTATGGTTACGAAAAACCTCGCAGTGGGTCGGGAGAGAGAGCATGAGATTCTCAGCCCAGCCAAGCTTCCTTGTCATCTTTCTGGATCCTCTCGCTTTTCTCTTCTCATCTCTAACTTGAAACTATTTGTCGTAGCATTTCGGAAATTAGCACCGGAGCAGCATGATGTCGTCATTATAGCAGGATTTGAACGAGTGTCGTGATTTCAAGCCATCATGCGCGAGTGCACCCTGCATTGTGTAGTTTTGCAGAATTTGTGACGGTTGAGGTTTATGGGAGGAGGCTGTGTTAGAGGTCTCGGTCTCGGTTACGGTTTCTGAGCGTCACAGTCGATGATTGCCGAATTTGGAACCTGGCATTGGTACTTTGTGACTCCTGACTGTGGGCGCGAATTATTCTGCGACCAATTTTTCGAGGAACCTGCTCCTTGAAGCGATTCATTCAGGATACCCGGTGCATTGGAAGGATTTGCGACTACTGGGGGTGTTTTTTCAGGTGGTTGAAGGCATTCGGAGGGTTTCTCGAAGTAGTTACTACACAGTAGCTGATGTTAGCCCTCAGAGGTTGATTTTGAATAAGGTGAATTCAATTTGGTTGGAAGATTGATAGCCATGGCTGGTTTGCCGGTGGCTTCTTCACTGGTTGCTCCCCACATAGACTGCAGTAGCACTGCCTCCCTATCATCTAAAGATGTGAAGTGCACCGGACTGGCCTGGGCTGCAATGGAGCCCTGTGCTGGGTCCCTGCTGCCAGTTCGCTCATCAGCAGCTTCTCCTGGTATACGGACTCCAGTAGGTTTGGGCAGGACAGCGGGCCTGAATGATATAATTTTTAGGAGGTCTAACTACGGGAGGAATGAGGAGAAGAGCGGACGAGTTACTGAAATCGTGCAGCAGTTCACTCCATCACCGTCAAGTTTACCGGAGGGAAATCCTAAACCCTGCCAAAACCCACTTAGGTCGTGGGGGTCGAGGGCTGCCTTCACCATTGTTCAAGCGACGTCCTCATCTGATTATCTGGAGGACGACAGCCAATTGAACTCGGTTAAAGATTATAATTCTGCTCTCTTGAATTGCGTAAAGTATGCCAATTTCTGTCAATTCTACAATTGTGATGAGGATTTATGGATAGAAATGTGTATGCGTCTTTTGCTACTTTTTTCTTAGCTATCACATCCTCAGCCGTTTCCTCATTTTGCGATGGACATTATGAATTTGTGACATGTTGACTGACTGCATTCTAAGTTGGGAATGAAGAGAGCATGGCGGAAATTTACTCTGATCTTTTGAACATGAAGTAAAATTGTTGTATGGTCTTGTAGAGACGGTCGCATGAGAGACGCAATGACTATTTTTAAACGCTTCGAAGGGGCTGGCTTGAAACCTGACGTAGTTTCATACACAGCTCTTATCCAAGGCTTTGGAAAACTCAAATCTTACAATAAGGTCACGGACGTATTCAGCCGAATGCAACGCAACAGGTATATTAGTGCAACCACTGGGTAATCTCTGTTAAAACGATCGAATTTCAAAAAAATTCTTCGTTCTTGTAACGCAATATCTTTTGTTTCTTAACTTCTGTTTTTTCAACTTCTCTGCTTTGCTGTTGGATTGAAAAGTCATAGTCATCTTTATCCGCGTATAATGTGCAGGTCCGTGGCATAACTCTGTGTTCGCACAGGATTTGTTGGTTGTCATTAGGGGGTGTTATAGCCGTGTGAGGATTCGAAAGTTTTGCTGTGTAGTTAGTTACGTTCAGTTTCCCTTCTGTTTGCAGGTTATATTTCCCTCTGCACTTATGTTTGATCGGTGATGTGCTTTTCGGGCAGGTGTCCACCCGATCTCAAGTTATGTACAGTTTTGATAAGCACATATGGTAACGGAGGACTACCAGTTCTTGCAGAGAGCGCGATGCAATATGCTCAAGCTCAAGGCTTGCAGCCTGACGCTATAGCCTACACAGCTCTAGTCCATGCATATGCACAAGAAGGTTTGTGGGAAGAAGCGGAGAAGACCTTGAGGTGACTTTAAAATGAATCAACCTTCTGTAATATTTGCTAATGCCATCTGTTAACAGAAGTGTTTTTTCCTTAAACGGTTAGTGGCTTTTAAACTATATTTATTTCCCAATGCTCGACAGACGAAGCTAACATCCTAGGCCCTACACCTTTTTACGCGCATCTAAAACTACCAGAATGTAGGGATTTTCATGGTTTTGGACTTTGAACTGGAGCAGTTACTTGCTATTTCGGGGAGATTTAGGTCCGAATATATTCCTAACGTCAACAAAAACGTAGAGAAATCATCTTGTCAGCACATGGTGCACAACTGTTGGTCTTACTGATTTAAACATTCCAAATACTAAATTATTATTGTTACTTTTTAAAATTGTGTTTTTCAGTGATATGCTCGATGTTGGAATAGTGGATGACCGACCTTACGCAGCTCTTGTTGCAGCATATGGGAAGGCTGGCCTTACTGACAATGTCAACAAGATCTTAGAAACGATGAAGGCTTCAGGAGTGGAAGCAAGCACAACACTCTATAATACTCTTATTAACATTCATAGTAAGGCTGAAGCTCCAGAGAAAGCTCGTGCAGTGTTGCAGCTTATGCAGGCTGATGGTAAGTCCGATTTGTTGTTTATTATCTTACTGTATAACCTACTGTCTAAAATGGTGAAGATGCAGAATTGTGGTGCTAAGAATTTCTTTTTTTTTATTTGCCGATGAAGCCTCAATGATCTAGTTTCATGTGATTACGTGGAAGCTTTTGCTTCTGAGCCTGACTAATTGAGTTTGAATTCATTTCAACCGAAGGTCTTTCTGAAACGCACGCACTTACTTCTGTCTGTGTACTATTAAGTTGACTGGTTTCTTCTCTGAATTCGTTTTTTTGTGATCTTGATACAAATGTGATTTATTTGCAAATTCACAGGTTGCCAATGTGATGAGATCACTTATACATCTGTCATGGAGGCCTATTCACGCAACAAGCAGCCTTTAATGGCAGAGAGTATGATGGGGGAAATGAAACGGGCTGGTATCCAACCAGGTCCTGTGAGTTATGGAGTTCTTATTAGTGCTTATTGTCGAGCTGGCCGCCTAGGAGACGCAGAAAGGATATTACGGTATGCATAGCTTACTATCATTAACCCAAGCTCCTGAACTTTGTCCATTGACGCTTTTAGTTGCTCTAGACATTTGATATGGTATCAATCTCTTCTGTGCATGACTTGCTAGCCTCCTTATAGCTAATTCTGGATGATAGAGGTTGTTTCACTGCAGGGCTATGCAAAATGCCAAGTGCAAACCGACGGTGGAGATCTACAATATGATGATAAGCGGTTATGCTTCTGCCAAGATGCGTAGTCAGGCCGAAAGAATGTTTCAAACGATGCAAGACTGTGGACTGCGGCCTGACGCGGTCACGTTCAACACCCTCATTTCCATGTACATCAAAAGTAGGAAACGAAAGCAGGTAGATTCCAAATCACTCAAATAGAAATTCAGAGATGAACGTCTCATGCATGGTTTTCAGGTATTAATTGAATTGTGGACGTCATCATCCTCACATGTTATTTAAACATGCCTAAGTGGTTACTGATGAGTGACATCTATTGTGAACTTTGATCGGTAATTTGACGTTGCATTGTTGATAATGGGTTTCTCGTGCGGTGCCAGTTTTCTTCAATCCTAGTATCAACATCTAATCATTCTCTGTTTTTTTTAACTGCAGGCAGAGGATTGCTACATTCGTATGCAGCAGCTTGGCTGCAAACCCAACGCGGTTACGTATAAAATACTATTGAAAGCATATACCGATTACAATAACTCAATTGACGCCGAAAGGATACGACTTGACATGCGGAAAGCAGGAATCAGCCTAGAAACTTTATCTTAAGTGTGTGGACTTTTGTTAATTTGGAAAATTCGAGAAATTCCTTGGCGTGTCACTGCAGCGTGGGTTATGTACTCTGCTTACATCTGGAACGTTGGCATGAAGGTTTTCAGCCTCAATCTTCGATATCTTTGTAGGGCAGCTCGAATAACACTAATTTCTGTAGTTGCTAGTGACCTGTTTCTATTCAGCCCCAATTGATTCAACAGTGCGGTTATGCTGTAAAATCTAGAACGGCAGTTTGTTCCAAGTGATCCTATCTTACTACTCGAGGTGATGACACTTAACAAGTGATTCAAATTATAATAGTCAGGATTGTGTGAAAGTAAGCCATTTTCCATCTTTAAGTTTCAACGGGGAGGAACGACCCTTTGATCATCAAAAGCAGCCACAGCACCTCAACTTTCCTCTTATGAAGGGCACGCAACAGAGCTGTTCGAATTACAAACCAAGCCCAGGAATTGCATGTGTCAGTACCTGGCGTAAGTTGCTGTCATATAAATGCGTCTTTCATTTTACCATTGTTGTTGTGTCATTGAAAAATTTATCAAGTGCTTCTTAACGTCACTTCCAAACTTGTGAGAGAAATTTTGGTCTCACGGAGTTTCTGGGGGTAACGCATTACGAAACTATCTTAGGATATCCTAAGAATCAGTAATACTGTTGATCGCAATCAGAATCAAGCTCATCACAACAACACAGAACCCAACCCAAATCACTAAATAAATAGGTTTGGGATCCTGCACTGTAAGCATCTGCCCCAAGTGAGTACCTCAGATCTGTTTAGTACAGTTGGAAGTGACAAGCAACGTCTCCATGGAACCGCATCTGACATCTGGCGCTCTGCTGACAAAATCCACAGCAGATTCGCATTCCCACAAACCATTCGTGAGTAGCAATTACGAAGACAAACGGTTGCATCTCTACGACGAAGAGTCTCAACTGTCACATTCTAAGCCCAAGTTGAAGCCACCTACAGTACATCAAAATAACTAACACTACATTCAACAGTACCTCAGTGATTCGTTCACCTGATCCGGATTCGTCGCATCAATTGACTTACAAACTCTTCAGGTACTCGGACTGAATACGGAGGGGGGAAATTGAACAAACGCATGAAAACGTCGCGTAACGTTCTTTTCAACTGGTGTCTGACTGCCATGGTAGTGGAAAGCTCCGGACGTCCGAACAAGAAACAGAAAATAATAGGCGGAGAATGAAGAGGGGAAGAGACCTTGTTGGGTCAGCTCAGCGTTACACCGAATTTTGGGGCATGGCAGCTGCATTCTCGCCCCCATCGCAACAATTTGCCACTCTGTGCCGTGTCTGGTGCTGCTCTGCTGCTGCAATGTCTATCTTCGCTTCCGCGCTCGTGGGCTAAGTTCACCTCTTCTATCACAACAAGAGACATTCTCCTCTTCACTTCTCCTAGAACTGCTGCTCATCGCCTGCTCTCGGAGTCTTTGGGCTGGTGGGTGGTTGCTGCAACTCATGCACTTCAATATGCAGTTAACAGTGTAGGACCTTCTCAGATTTATTGGTGATGACGATCGACTGTAGTTGTGGTGTGGTGTTGGCGTGTTATGAGATCCAGCAATTTATACATTTTGAATTTGAATTGGTGGTTTGGGTTGTTTGGTTGGTTGAGTGTGCGAAAGTGCAACAGTCAACAAGTTCATGGAGGATTCAAAGAGGAGTGTAGATGTTCCGAGATGTGATTGTTGCACTGCATAGAGATCTGGACCCTGAATTCGTGTTAGTGTTTTGATATGTTCAACTGGCGTGTGGAGTGTGTATTTCACGTGTGGCATTTTTCTGGTTAAATTCAGGCCTCAGGTTTAGAACCTCCGGTATTTTGGTAGTGGTGTGAAGCTGTCGGGGGGGTCTGTCTGAGGCCCGGTGAGGAGCCTGACGCAGTTTTTGGGCCATATCAGTGGTGTTCCGAGACGAGAAGCGATTCTGAGAGTCCCGATGATGATGAGAGGGAGGGGAGTTAGAATGGCAAGAGTATCTGCAGCTATCTTTTTGTGGACATTGGCGATTTCATGTGTTTCTTTGGTCCACGGAGCTACCGATCCGAGCGATGGTATGGTCCCTTGTCCTGCTTTGTTTCTTCGTATGCTACAGCGTTATGAGAAGTGCAGGGAAACGGTTATTCTTGATGAGTTCTTGCGAGTATTCGAGTTTCAGCTCGTCCATTAGTGCGACATGAGCACATGGATTCAAAGTTCTCCTCATATAAAAATGATCATGAATCTGACCTTTTAAGCTCATCCGCTTACGAGCAATTCGGACGACTCTGCAGAAATACTATCTTAAGCATATCCATAGAGACTTTGGGAAAGACAATGTGGTATATGATATCGGCGTGGTGGAAAATTTGGTGGCATCCAAAATTTGCCGGGAGGATGAACGTATGATGTATTCAGTTTTCAAAATGGCATGTGCTCCACGGGAAGAGCATCTCTTAGCACATCAGGGGCCGAGAACTGTATCTAACAGTGTCAGTGATCATTAATACTTATGATTTTAAGCATTGTTCTCAGATTTGAAGCGACCAACCATACTCTTCAAGAACTAAAGCTCTGGATTCCGATTCTGTAAACTAAGGATTAACCTGTGCACAGTTTGAGCTATTTGAGTGGTGCCCATTACATTCGTCAAGGTCTTTTGGTCAGTATAATCAGCAGGTTTGAGGATCTGACTCGGTGCATCGGTGCTTGTGCTTGCAGTATCTTCTTTGAACACCATGTTCACTGGCCTCAATAATGACCCGAAGCTTACAAACTGGGTGCAAAGCGCGGGTGATCCCTGCAGTAACAACTGGCTAGGCATTACTTGTGAGTTCACTTTTGTCACCTCAATGTGAGTTTGCAGATCTCCTTGTTAACTTCCGATTCAGAGGCACGTACTCGTTTTGGCAGTATATATAAATGATGAGAGTTTTTATTTTTATTTTTTATTTATTTTTATTTTTATAATTTACTCACTTTACTGTAATTTTTTCAACCCGTTTCAGCAAACTATCAAACATGGGATTGAATGGGAAGGTGGAGGGATGGGTTTTACAGAAGCTTCAACTCCTTTCTGTGCTGTAAGTACAATACTTGGTTTCATGTTTGGTTGTCTATTTCAGTAGTGAATATGACCAGGCCGCATCGCGTTACATTCATTATGTTGTTTCATTTCTCCAATTTGATGGATTGTTTCTGGCGACCATTTCTTTTGAGGGGTGGTGTATTCTATCTCAGTGACCTCAGCCACAACAAACTCAACAGCGAGATTATCGGAATGCATCCTCGGAATATGACTGCATTGTGAGTGAATTTTATGCTTAAAAACCGCTTCAAGCTTCTAATTCTGCCCAACGCATAGTCAGGAATGGAGAATTCATTAGCCTGATTAGCCATTGTGAATGTCAATTGTCGGACCACCGCCGTTGGCGCGATTCAATTTTATGATTCAATAACAATTACATGCATGACACGCTCTGACAATGTGACTGATCGATTGGTATGAGGATTTGATAAAGTCATAACTAGCTCAATGCTTCTAATTTCTTGTGGAAATTAGTACTCATTAGTTGCGTGCTAGTGCAGGGACCTGTCCTACAACCAGCTTACAGGCAGCTTCCCCTACTTGCTTATTAATGTTCCTACTTTGATAAGCATGTAAGTGCACAACATTCTCAAAACATCAAGGACTTTGCTGATATTTTGACAGGATAGAAGGGTGGTCAGTGATGGTCACCTGTGTAGTTAGGCATTAGAAGTCAACTGCATATTGAATTACACTCTTAATTATTTTTACAAATTTATTTATTGATTCATTTTCGTTGAAACATTCCCGTGTGTATAACTCCGAACTGGGTTGTTGCAGAAAATTGAATAACAACAAGCTGACTGGTACACTAAACGGTCTAATTTTCAGTAAACTTGTCAACTTAGTCACCCTGTAAGTCTATGTAATGGCTGCCATTTTCTTCACTTGTGAGAATTTTTTTTTGCTCTTAAGTACGAACGGTTTTAAATAATGAAATTCGTTGCCATCTTGTTTTGAAATTACTGCGAAGTTTAGTACTCGGTGGTTCTTTTCCGTAAAATTCTTTGTGCGATTATTGTCTTTCCAGAGATAATTTCAACAGCGCGATTACAGGAGGAATTCCTAAGGAAATGGGTGATTTAGCCAGCTTGCAATTTTTGTAAGTACCACGTTAATTCTGTAGCTACAAGGATTCCCTATCATCACATTTGGAGGGATATTTCCTAGAGTCTAGTGGATGTAGTTGGTATGAACTACGTTATGAGGTTTGTGAGCTGAACATAATATCGTCTTGTGTACAGAAACATGCAAAACAATAAGCTGACTGGCTCAATCCCAGCATCTTTGGCTGGACTTCAGTTCTTGGATACCTTGTGAGATTTCTACCTGAAAGACTCTTTATCTTCAGCAAATTACTGACAAATTGTTCTGTTTGGTGCACTAAGATTGACCTTAATTGGGTAATTCTGATTGCTTGCAACAGGGATGTCTCTAATAACATGCTTACTGGCTATCTTCCACCGGATTTAAAT